GTTTTTTCAGCTTGTTCAGCTTTCATTACATTACTAATATTATAAAACTCGTTGACAACAAAACTAGAAAAGGATTAACTGTACTACTGAATGTAGCTGCAGCAGCACATAGTTGAAGCAGTAGTTGAAGGAGCTGTACCAGTAATTAAAATTAGCAATGAAGTACAAATGTTCATTTTTGCTGCACAAAATAATTATGGGAGTTGGATGCAGCTCTGCCTTTACCTTCCCACTGCGACTCAGAGTGGGTGGCTGGCAAGGATGTCACGGTCACACAACACTCTTTCATACTGTGTAATGAACACATCACCATATGCATAAAATCTGGGTTAAAGGTGTGTGGATTTTCCCTGCAACTCCCTAATTAGATTACTAATTAGTGGATCAATTGGCTGAAGAGTCCTCACACCTGGGTTTGAATAGCTGACCTAAAGGGTATCCCAAAATATTACATACAGGCATACACACTGGTCCTTTGATGATAAGATCATCTACCCCAGCTCTTGTCGATCTTCTTAGTGCCAAGCCAAAATGAGCCAAGAGTTCAGCTCTGTAAGCCATGGGACCCGGTCTAATTCTCTCATGTCGACCAAACATGTCAACACATTATTATGATGTCGTTGTCCTCGTCGTTATGCACATCATCCTGATGTGTTGTCTGACTGTGTTGTTATGAATCCTGTCTTGATGTGATGTTTGTCTGTGTTATTTTGCTTCTCATCCTGCTTTAAAATTCCCCCCTGTCTCTGATATCCCAAGCAGACTAATTCCAGTCAAAATTAATTTATATAGCCCACTTTCATACGGTAGATCACCATGGTAAGGATAGATTGCAATTTGCAATTTGGGATCCCATTTATCTCTACAGTGCAGTAATGTGTACATTAGTAAACAGTGGCATTTTGTTACTCGTGATTTGTGTATTCAGATGCCATAAATCCTCCCCGAAGTCTGCCGATATACTTCGCCTTTTTATTTTTGAGAGTGGAAAATTAAAGACTTCACCATATAAACAGGTCCAACCAGGCCCATACTGACCAGTCTGATTTGTGAATTTTTTCACTCCACAGTTTGTCTGTCAGTGACTGATATGCGCGTTTGTGGAAAAAACATGACAGACCAGTGGTCAAATTACCTAGGAAGAAACCAGTTTCATATTGACCAGTTGAGGTCATTCAGTCATATGAAAGTGTGTGTATCACGCAGGTAGTAAGAGCAGATGCTGTTTTGACACTTTTACTAACTGACTAATATGGATATTGTGATTTAGGAAGGTATTTNAAAAAAATCAATGGTTGGAAAAAGCAAGACTTTTTCAAGATCCCACAAAACCTTTACCAATGCTTTTCTACATACTGTGTCCATTTAAATACAAAATATAGAGTTAATAGACTAATAAATGTGATTGTGTGCGCACTTCACGTTCAATAGCCTAGCTGTTTTGCTTACAGTTACTGTCAGTGATTGGACAAAGTGCAATTATTAATAAATATGTATAAAAACTCATAATACAAAAGTGACATGGTGTGCATTGTCTAGATCTTTTGTCTATGGTTAAAAAAAAACAAAAAAAAACTTCTTGAAAGAAGTTCTCAAAGAACAATCTTCTTTGAATTTGCTGAGTTGGTCTAGAAAAGATATCACACAGACAGTGTGCTTTGACAAACACAAAACCACCCTTGACAATTGTAATCGACTCCCCCCCCCCCTTAATCTTCCCCATACAGTATTTTTATAGTCCCATTACCCAGCATGCACTCAACCAGGTGAATGTCGGTATTTTTTCTCCAATAAATTAAACACTTTTTCCATCTTACATTACCAAATATATATTCCATTACCCCTATTTTTTTTACCCCTCCATGTCCCATCCAGGGTTCAATACAAACAAATAAATTATGTCATCTGCTTTTTCACTCTTCCCTCTGCTGCTACTAAGCAGCATCACTTCAATTTTGGGGTGATCTCTCTCAGAATTTAGTAAGTTCCAGTTTCTCACCCATACAATGCTTGTGCATTTTTTTGAAAAAGATCCATCAAACAGCTTTTTCAGTTATTGTCTTAACAAGCAAAACATCTGCACCGGCAGCTGACCACTACTATAACAATATGTATTCCCTGAACTCAAGGGAATACAACTAAATCTTTTCTCAAAGACAGATATATAATGACATTAAGCAACAATCCTAAAGGTCACCATCAGAATTAAAACCCAGATCTCCTACCTTTTGTCAGACTTTGGGGGATGTTTTTGATCCAGTCATGAAAAGCCTCTTCCGGACTGTGTTGACGACTATAGCAAGGATGGGAGTCACAAAATGCATACCACTTCAACGCATATATATTTTGCAGTAACTGAAGTAATTCACAGCAAGCCTGCTCCCCTTTAGCAATGACCATGTCCAGTAATTTGCTTGTTGCGTCAGGCCTCCCAGATTGTCCTCTAATAGCACAGAGTTCCTCCTCACTGAGAATACCATGCTGGTTAAGCTCTTTGGCAGTTGAAATGGGAAATTTGAGTTGATCCATGAGATTTTTCCTGCCATTTCTGACATACTGAAGAGCAGATGGTGGAGCGTTGTCCATCTGACTGGTGTAGTTAGAAAGTAGACCAGAACACCTGCAAGGCGAGACAGTGTTACATTTATCATTAAAAACTAAAAATCATTTACAATCATATAAAATAGATATATTAGATATAAAATAGAAATTCTCTTGCGATGCATCTTCTGGATTAATGCATACGTGTTATATAACTAACGAGACAAATACATTGAGAATTTGGACTGTTGGTTTTTTCAGCTTGTTCAGCTTTCATTACATTACTAATATTATAAAACTCGTTGACAACAAAACTAGAAAAGGATTAACTGTACTACTGAATGTAGCTGCAGCAGCACATAGTTGAAGCAGTAGTTGAAGGAGCTGTACCAGTAATTAAAATTAGCAATGAAGTACAAATGTTCATTTTTGCTGCACAAAATAATTATGGGAGTTGGATGCAGCTCTGCCTTTACCTTCCCACTGCGACTCAGAGTGGGTGGCTGGCAAGGATGTCACGGTCACACAACACTCTTTCATACTGTGTAATGAACACATCACCATATGCATAAAATCTGGGTTAAAGGTGTGTGGATTTTCCCTGCAACTCCCTAATTAGATTACTAATTAGTGGATCAATTGGCTGAAGAGTCCTCACACCTGGGTTTGAATAGCTGACCTAAAGGGTATCCCAAAATATTACATACAGGCATACACACTGGTCCTTTGATGATAAGATCATCTACCCCAGCTCTTGTCGATCTTATTAGTGCCAAGCCAAAATGAGCCAAGAGTTCAGCTCTGTAAGCCATGGGACCC